ATCCACACAAATGTTTCCTTCTCTTTAGTGACTATGGTCCAAAACAGCGACATCATTTCAGTCATTTTCTTACAAATAAAATGAATTATTAAGCTTAAAATCTGAAACCAAAATAAACTGAGACAGCACCATTTAGACTGCTGTATCCGGCTCCATGTTTACCTAATTGCAAGACTTTAAGTAACTACACTCATACACTGACCTTAGAAACACTTAGAACTTAGAAAGACCAAGACAAAGCGCACGCTGGGGACTAAAGAAGACCCGTGTTAAAATCTTATTCTGTGATAACACAGAATCAGTAACTATCCTAAAAACAAAGTCACAAAATTGACAGCTCTCATAAACACATAGCAGGTCAGTTTGTTTATCCATTAATTCCTCTGTACACAGACAAAAAAAATGCTAATCCTGGACCTAATCATCATTTTGCCTCGATCATTGTAATCTTCATCTCTCTGACTCTGCAATTACTCCACTCTAATTCACAGAAAATGTGTCTGCCAATTTGATCATTTTCGTAACCGTGAACTGATTACATCTCATCTCTTTGAATCCCAAGAATGCTGCTTCTTCCCTACCTCTGCAAGTTCAAGCTTCCTGACAAGTGTGGCTGAGGTGTGCCTAACTGTTCTTTGGCTCTTCACTTGTTCCTTAGTGCTTTGTTTTGCCAGTGACAACCATTACATGTGTTCTGTTCTTTTTTCCCCCTTTTATTTAACACCTCTGCTTTCTCTGTGCCACTCGCCACACTTCATATGCCCCGCCTGCACCAGTCTACAGGATCTTCACCATTCTTCTTGCAGGTTGTGCCTTAAAATCTCCCTGTGGATGTCAGTGCAGATGAACAGCCAAATGATGACAGCCATAGTTCAGAGGCAGCTATAAAAGCTTGCATGAATGTACCCTGAAAACTTCAATTTGGCATTTTCAAGATCTAAAACTGTAATATTTACCTGTGTGATATAAGGTATCTGTGTCTTCGCTTTCCACATTTGTTCTGCTAATTTGCAAGCCTTGTTTTTAATCATACTATGGGCTTCTTCAGGTCAGAGAAACGGACTATGGACTTACAAAGTACCTGCTTCATCGATGGCTGACCCCTGAAAGAGATGTTTCCACTACAAAGACCTTTACAAGAAAAGCATTATATCCATCTGGTGTACCCAATAAGATTCATGTGAAATTACAGCAGTGGAGCCTGACTGCCCATGCCCACAGTTAAGTATTTTCTAAGCTTGCACACTGTCATTTAACCACACTACTTTGTAACTTCTAAGACAAGAAAGTACTGCCCTAATCAAGCAGCATGACATTCTACACCAGGCCAAGAACTCTGCTCAGCAATTCCTAACCCACTGCTCACATTCTGCAGACCCACAGCAGGTCTTTCCAAAGCAACATGAACATTTTTTTTATTTAAAGAGTTCTTTTTTTTGATGAAAGAAACTACCGTTTCCCTGGGGACTCTATTCCAAGACCTACTGCATATTTTGCAACAACTTTTATCCATGGGATCTTAGGCTAACATAAATTTTGCTAGATTAAGAACCATCTAGTATCAAATCTCTACACGGCCTTACAAATCATGATCAAGACACGTCCTAACCATCTCCCTCAGAAGCAAAACACATCAAACTTCCTGTCTCGCATACAGTAGATTCTGTAGATCTCAAATCCCACCTGTAATCATTCTTCGCCCCAAAAAAATTAACTAGGAAGCATTTTAACATCCATTTTGACATGTGCTACCTAGAACTAAATGGTGTTCATTAATTATTTTTCTAATGCCATATACAGCTTTAATACCTATTATTCACTTATTTCCCTGTTGACACATCCAAAGCCCTTTTTGCCTGTCATCTGCTAAGACTTCTGTTCTTCTGATCCCCTGCTTTTCCAGAAAAAAAATACCAAGGATTGACTTCTACTGCCAGCTCCTAGATATTTTTTCCCCCTGCCCCCTTAGCAATATTAAATGAGATTTTTTTCTCCTCTGTCCAATTTACTACGTCATCTTTATTTCTGCTGCTGCTGCTTTTGTTGATGAAAACATATTGTGATTTTATATTTGGAAGGCGAGTATTTTTCTTTTGGTTCTTTCCATTGATTCAGCTCCAGGGGACATCAAAAAAATTCAGCTGAGTGTCTGAAATCCCAGAACATTACTAGTAACTCCATGGCCTCCCACAATCCCTTTTCATATTCCTTGTCTTCTTTCTTCTGCTATAGAAGATAGCTACCACGCTCAGAAGTTCTTTCTCAAAAAGAGAATAAAATGTTTCATAAAAAACCCACTGTATTTCTCTACATCGTATATCCTAAGCAGCAACACGGACCACTGGAGGTCACTGAAATTGAAGTTCAAGGACCTTGGATTACCTGTGTGAGTATTTTTATAGAGATGGAGACACTTGTCAGAAATAAAGTCACTGTCTGTGCTATAGGAGGTGACAAATATAATATTTTACAAGTAGAATCTGTTAGATGTGGTTTTGACAGCCACAAAATAACAGAGTACCCATCTTGTCAAGAATAATATTCTACAGAAACGTTTGTAGCAAAGACAGTATGGCCTACATGTTGGGAGAGCAAATGGTAGCAGGACACTTATTTTGCAGGAAGAAACAACGCAGATGACACTTGGCAAGTATGCTCCAGTGGGAGGAAAACTTTGTAAGCAGATATAATGTTTCTTCTGGATCTTAATCATACTTCTTCTGATACCATACCTTAACTGAAATGTCTGGAAACACAAGACTGAATTTTGACTTCCCTGATAATGTTGTTGTTTCACTATTCAGATGAAAATGAATATGAAATTGCTAAAAGCTGCATAACAAAACCCATATTTGATCAGACCAAAGGTTCATTTAGCCTTAGGCTGTTAGCCCCACTATTAGCCAATACTGATTGCCTAGGGAGAAGCATAAGAAAACCCAACATATGCTGGGGTAATTCTGCTAAGATATTCTCCCAGCCTCTAAATTTGTGATTCGGGAACTTCCCAAGAGGTATGTCTCTATATATAATGCCTTTCAGTGGACTGTTCTGAACAAAAACCCTGTTATTTATACCCACCTAGCAAAAGATAACGTAAGGGACGTAGTAAACCAGTATTTCACCTTTAAGTCCTGATATAATGTGCAATGTCTTTGGTCATACCAAAAATTCCCCAGTGCTGGGATGGCCATACACACCGTGTGAGCCGCACTGCACAACAGGTAATGCCAAGAATACAGAATATGAGGAATACAGATTTCACTTTCACAGAATAATCACGTTAGGTCTGCATATCAGATTTTTTTTTTCTTTTTGAAAGCTATGAGATGAAACACATGACCTCACTGGAGTGGAAGAAATGTGTCCACAATGGCAAACGTCGACCTCTTGCCAATGGCAGCACAGAGTAAATTTAAAAAAGTCAACAATCCATTTGACAACAATACCTATTTAAAAATAACAGTAATTCAGTAACTATATGTGCTATTTCCACATTTCTCTTATGACAACAGCATTAGAATTTATATCAATAAGCCTGTCTCTTGCATCAAGTGGTTAAACTGCTTTTTGTATCCTCAAGGACAGTTTAGACTTCTGAAAACAAGCTGCTTCTTTTTGTAAATTATGATTCAAATTATTTTACTGTTTATTATCGCGCAAACATTGAGTGCTTTTTAGATGACTGTTGACTGCCTGTAGTAATCAAATGTAACTAAAGTCCAAAAAGAAGTTGTGATAATTTTGTTTTTAAAAACAAGATGTACTTAGACCCCCTCAAAATAAAAAAAGAAAAAAAAAAATCCGTCTTATACAGTTTAGAAAAGCTACCGAAGCTTTAATTTTTGAGTAAGAATGCTTCTTAAGAACTCAAGTAGGCAGACAGATGATGATTTTAGAGCCCATCTCTACCCATATGTTCAACCAGCTGCTACAACTTCCCCATTCATGCAGAGGCAGGAGCACCAGGGACGGTCTCAAGGTCCTGAAGGATGACCACACGAAACACAAGTCTTTCAGGATTCACCCCCAAAAAAACCCCATATTCTTGGAAAACACTGCTTTTGCAGGTGCGATCTAGACTAATGCAAGGAAGACAATCAAAACGAACAACGAAAGATGCAAAAAAGGTACACTGCTCCTGAAAGTATGTTTATTTAAGTATATTTAAACGTATGAACATAAAGTCACAGATTTTTACCACGCATCCATCCCGCAGTCCCTGCTCCCCAGATCTCTCCTAACAAGACCGGAAAGCCAGTGCAGGAACCCACTACCTCAAGTTTCCCTTACTGGCTCCTGACAACACACGACTAACAGGAGAGTGAATGCGTGTCCTGAGGCCATCTGATGGAAACCCACATGCCAAGTACTTTCTAGTTCGCTGCTGGGTAATTAACAGGGTGAAGGAACCACAAACCAAGGGTGAAAACAGAAGTTAGAAAGTCAGGAGACTACCTAACAGAAAGAAAAGAACAGCGACACATTTTGGCTTCTGATCTGAGGGATGGGTAAGGCTAAAATGCATTAGGCTCAACCATCTAATCCCACATTACCAGTCAATAAAACTAAAAAGAGGATGAAAAATCTAAAATGTCACAAGTATGATTTGGGAAAAGGGCTGCAAGCAGAAAAAGTCTACAAGCCACTGACCTAGCAAACTAGCCAATACCTCAAGAAGAAAAAAACCCCAAACAATCTGCCAGAGGGACCCCCGCGCCTGCATCACCCCAGCGCCCGCGGCTCCCCCCGCACCGCCGCCCTCCGCGCGGGGCAAGGACCACGCTCTGCCCACCCCCTCCGCCCTACAGAAAAATTAAAGTTTCGGGGATGCGGAGACTTGCGCACAGAGCCGATCACCAGGAAACTTCCTGAAACCCGACACGGGCACCTGGCCGCCGAGGGACTCCCCCGGGGCCGCTGCCAGGGGTGACCCGCGGCC